ATCTTCCTCTTTTATCCGAATGGGCAACCAAAACCGGCGCACGAAAGTGCATGGTTAATGGTCGTAAAAACTGAAACTGATAAGGGTATCCGTATACGCATCAATTAGATTTTCAACAAATTAGCTCACTATTGATGTTTATTTTGCGTCCCTCAACATGCTCCGGAACTTAACTAACCGAAATTTTGCAACCAATTCGGTTGAAGCCACGAAAACAAACTTGTGTGCTACCATTTGGTCGAGTACGTACTTCACATAATTCGAAATAGTGACAATCCGATGATGACCGTGTACCAAACTCCTATTTGTAATGCGAGGGCTGAGCAAAACGTTTCCGGATGCACAAAAAGTTTTATTTGCTTTGCACAAAGAAGCAGAACATTTTCTCGAAGTATTCTCTATCAACTTTCATGCACAGCACCGTGCGCTTAAACCATTTGGTGAATACAGCTCGACCAAGCGGATAACTCTTTGACCAGTTATATAAAGGCTTCCGCTGCAGCCATTGGTCACTGGTATCAGGTTACACGTCCCATGCACTTGGCATTTAGGAACAGTGCTTCTCGAAGGCGCTTCACCTACAAATGAAGCTCGCAAACGATCGACGCTCTGCTTCTGTTTTGAACCACATTTGTGGTTGTAGAAAATCATTGCCCACCAGTGACATCAACCGAATTCCATCCTTCCAGTCCCGGTACGGTAACCCTCGTCTGATTTGCGAGGTTTGCTCTGCTGTTGACATTTGGTTCTGCGAGTTGCAATTACTGAACATTATTCACATCCGGTTACAGTTAACATTTTCCTTACCTGGTCATCGTGTACTGCGTATCCGGAAACGTTCTGATCAGCCCTCATACATTAAATTATCACGAAGTGACAATACCAATTTCGTTTCTAACTGCATGGATTTAGGTTGTCTGTGATGGTGCGGTTTTCTCTCTCTTTCTTGAAGAAGGAAACAACGTGGAGATTAACTATGCCACACAGTTGTTTACGCTTGCGAGATGGATATCCGACACCAACAAGCCCAATCACATTGTAACTTGAATCAAAACAGATCTCCGAGTTGTGGTTGACTGCATTAACTGAGGACTGTGTGTAGACATGGTCGTCCACAATGAAAAACTTAAGTGCAAATGGTTGTTTTGGCAGATTTGAAGTTGTTTCGTCGATTGTGAAAAGTTCAGTAGCCTCGGTGGGATTCGAACCCACGCATGAACGCCGCCTACGCTTGTTCGCGCACGTTCTAGCAGCTGAGCTACGAGGCCACACACTGATCTTTTCACATTCGAATTACTCGTCCAACCTACAGAGATATATGGCATCCACCAATTAGCATAATAACTCCAAATCTGGCAAAACAACCATTCGCACAATGAAACTTGTCTTAGAAGCTCATTCGGTGGATTCCGATGAATTCTAAGGAAAACATGTCGGGGCAGTCAGCTAACATGCTAACTGGTGGATGCCATATGTCTCTTTAAGTTGGACGGATAATTTGAATGTGAAAAGATCAGTGTGTGGCCTCGTAGGTCAGCTGCTAGAACGTGCGCAAACAAAGCGTAGGCTGTGTTTATGTGTGGGTTCGAATCCCACCGAACTTTTCACAATCGACATAAAAACTTAAGTGTTAAATCATCCGGAATGTTAGTATTGTAATTCTACGGAGAAAACCCTTCGGTGGTACATACAGTGGAATGATACAGAAAACATCAGCATGATCCTGGACAAGGATCACATGCGAATTCGCGAAGCGTTCCATATTTTTCCTCAAAGCAGAGTTGTTTGCTACCGGGTGGCGGATAGCTATTGACCTGGTGATCAACTGTGAATAAGGTGAGCCCGGACTCAACAAACAAGCGGTGGTAGACGATCAATGACCATGCTGGAGGACGCGGTGCGGCTTTTCTCAGCAAGCACTCTTAAAACACTGCATGAGTTTGCAGGCCGTACTATGACTTCTACGCCATGGCCCGTTACTAAACAGGCTATTGACCCGAAGTGGTTATCGGGAAGAAGCGAGAGTTGCACAAAAAGGTGAGGTGATCTTCACCCCCTGAACAGTCCTTACGATACTGAGATCACCTCTTCGCTTTTCATTCCCACGAACCTCAATACCCATGGAGCCGACTTACCTTCCGGCAGTCGAATAAGTAACTAAAAACACTCCAGATGCAATACTGACAAAAGTGATTGAAGTGGCTGATAGCTGAACTAAGTCACTAGGTTTTAGTGGGGAATCTGCCGCAGATGATCAGCGAATTAAGTAAACATCCGGAACGACTGAGTATATGACGGGTGATAACTCGGAGGCGATGATGCGTCTGACCAAACTCAAGCAATCCACTTAAATATCAACCACGAGTTAGGACGATGTCGGTCACGTGACATCTTTTTTGAGCTACAAACGAACATGAACTCTGAATCGATATGAGACGCAGGCTGATTCTGAACATGAAAAATCACGAGCATTGTGTTCTACTGAATAATCAATGAAATGAACTACCGAATAACTGCTCAGGCATAAAAAATTCCACGGATGATACGAACCCCAAAATGCGTAGTACTCATGCACAGAAAGCTTCAACCCCAAGTTAGACCGTGAAAAGTTGCCCTTCAAACCAAACCACCCAATGAAAACTTTATTGGTTCCAGGGGATGCTAAGACTTTAATCCGAGGAAGCGAATCAACACAGTGTAATGTTCGATCTTCACTTAAAAGCACACATACTTGACCTCTATACTATACACTCTATCACGAGTAGGAGTAGGCCTGGAAAATGTTGTGGTGATTAACCGATTAGGGTCACCATTACATTGATTCAGTTAACAGTTAAGATCTCCCATTATCATCGGCTGATTTTTAGTTTTTAAATTGCCCCAGGAGGTCACTTGTTCGAATGTTGCCCCCGACGACTCTATACCCGGATAGTCAGTAACAACATCAATCCATCATTGGAAACCAAAAGTGGGAGTGGGGAAAACCAAAGTAACCATGGCTTTAATGGCAATGAAAACCTCATCGGAACCGAATTCACTAGTGATCATTTCTACTGGATCGCCGTGGGTGGGGGGGGGCGTGAGAGATAAAGGAGATCCAGCGGATGAGAAAAGCCGGAAAGAAAAGAAAAAAACAGAAATGGACAGACCATTCACCGAATGGAGTGTACAAAATAAGATTGAGGGAAGGTAAAATTTGTTGCACAACAGGCAGGTTGGAACCACCTGAATGTGGAAAAGCGTCAGCAAAGTGGTCGGAGGGGGGCGGGGCGGGTTGGGACTGCTGGTGATCGAATAACCACTGAGCGAC